CAAGGAACATGAAAGGCACTGCAGACTATTTCAACCAGAGAAATCAGCCATAGCAGAGTACCTGATGAACCAACCTGGACACAGCATTTTCTTTGAGAACACAGAAATGCTGGATCACTCTCACAACCACCATGTCAGACTACACAGAGAAGCCATTGAAATACACAAGCATGTGGACAATTTCAACAGAAAGGAAGAAAGCATGAAAATGAACAAAATCTGGCTACCAGTATTAAAAAACTCTAAAATTACAACAGCACAACAACAGAGAGGAAACAAACAAGGACATCTAATCACCTCTCAACAAAAATTTGCCCCAGGCTCTGTCAGACCATTATATGCTAATCAAGGTGGTCAGTTGAAACATTCACACCTAGCTCCAGCAGACAAGAGTCCTTTGTCTCACCCTGGTCATTCCACAGATATATAAACCCACTTTCCTAGTTCCAACAGACCTCACTACCTCTGAGGATGCTTGCCATAGATGCAGGTGAAACGTCAGGAGATAATGCCTCTAGACCATGGCTATATAACCCCAAAAAAACCTACAACAACCCAAAGTTTCAAATTTTTCAGGGTACTTCCAGAGGGATGTCTCCCAGCATCACCAGTCAAAAGATACTGTGCCTCTGCTATGTCCTTTCTTTCTTTTTGTAGAAACAAAACCATGTGGTGGGAAAACATGAGTGGGTTACAAATGCAAAATAACACCATCTGGACACCCCAATACCCATCAGTTTTGTGAACAAGGCAGGGCATTACTTCAAGGCTTCCTTTTAGCACCCTGCTTCTGAAATCTGGTTGATGAACTGCAGGTTAATAGCATTAGCCTCCCTACAGCGAAGAACAGCTGCAACCAGGTATATAAAAGCAAAAAAAGCAGAAGGACAATGCAAATTTGGAAATGTTCCATGTAAATTCAACTCTGTAATTCAAAGTAGGAAAATCTGCATGGAATTCATCCCTGAAATTAATATTTACTCCTTTCAATAATCTTGGCAAACAAGGTCTAGGATTTCATTTAAGTCAAGGGCAGAGTTCCATCATGCTCAGTCCCAGAAGCAGATGAAAGGCCCTCACTTCATTCCAATTGTCACTGACCTGGCCTTGGAGGGACAGCAGAAGAGGCAGTATCTGCTGGAGGCAATTCCCTTGACACTGCCATGCCCTTTTCTTTTTGTGTCACATTTTAATTAGTTTGTAAGCCCGAGGGCAGGAAACTGTTTTGTTGTTCTTTTACGTGCAAACCATAATGTGCAGTGACGGTGCTATCTAAATAAACTGATAATGATAGGTAATGATAATGAGCCTGAAACCACAATGTTGGGCTGGTAGTGAAATTCAACCATGCTTGTTCAGAAAACTATATAGAAGGGAAAATAGTAAAAATACGTAGATAATTTGAGTTATCGGATGTTTCCCTTCTAATATTTTGTCTCATCAGTTACTTTCTTACTAAGACTGATGCTCTCAGGGTGATTTCACTTCCTTCTACATTCCAAAACTGACTGTTTCTAAGATACCTACTATTATTATTTATTTATCGTGTCAGGAGTTGTATTGCATTAAAAACAAACAAACCAACAAACCACAAAGTTTGCAAGCTTGGTAGTTGATTAAATGTCCTTTGACCAGTATCTGGCCACTTGGAGTGCCTCTGGTGTTGCCGCAAGGAGGTCCTTCATTGTGCATGTAGCAGGGCTCAGGTTGCATTGCAGCAGATGGTCTGTGGTTTGCTCTTCTCCACACTCGCATGTCGTGGATTCCACTTTGTAGTCCCATTTCTTAAGGTTGGCTCTGCATCTCGTGGTGCCAGAGCGCAGTCTGTTCAGTGCCTTCCAAGTTGCCTGCTGATATACCTACTGAGACGTATACTACCCATACTTCCCTACTTGTTAAATAATTATTTCAACATACTTTTACATCTTACATAGTAGAAGCCACGGTGGCGCAATGGGTTAAACCCTTGTGCCAGCTGAACTGCTGACCTGAAGGTTGGCAGTTTGAATCTGTGAGACAGGGTGAGCTCCCATCTGTCAGCTCCAGCTTCCCATTCAAGGACATGAGAGAAGCCTCCCACAGGATGGTAATACATCCGGGCATCCCCTGAGCAACACCCCTACAGACAGTCAATTGTCTCACATCAGAAGTGACTAGCAGTTTCTCAAGTCACTTCTGACACAATAAAAAAATCTTATACAGTAAACAAAATCTTTCATAGAAAGTGTACTATTTTACTTGCAAGCCCTGCTCTTTAGTCATTAGTGTTTGAGAAAATATATGAAATATCACATATGCAGAAATGCTTTTCTTGTTAGTCCAAAAATGTGAGGACACAAATACTGTTCCTTGCAACAAAATTCCAATTTGAAATGTGAGCCTTTCCGGTTCTTAAATTCTGTGAAGTTGCAGTACTGACAGTGAGAGACTTCCTTGTCCTTCAGAACTTACCTAGTGCTGGTTCCGCACACTCTTTATACTGCTCTGGCGTGCAGAAAGGAGCATCTCCTAAAGGAAAAATACACAGCACCATTTTAAATGCACACTGTACAGTGAAGGATAGGTTTCTGTCTAAAATGCTTATAAAGCAAGTCCTTGCTTGAAGAGAGTAAGGAGAGAAGTTACAAGATATAATCTATTTGTAAAATAGCCCATTTCTGATCATCAGGACATTTAATTAAGGTCACAGATGGCCAGATAGTAAATTGTGTAACCCCACATATAACTATTGTGAAAGAAGTCCTATTAATTTTAACAACTAACATGTATATAGGATCACACTTCAAGGCATATAGATCTTGCACTGTAACCATTAAAAAAAACCTAAGTTAAATATAGTGCACATGTGAATGCTAATTTCCTTTAAACATGGTTCTTAATCTGTGGGTCGCGGACTACCAGTGCCATGAGGACAAAAATCTTGGTTGCGAGCCTCCTTCCTCTTTATTTATTTTATTTTATTTTTTATTTTATTTCCACTGTCACTGACCATGGCATATGATCAGTATCAGAAACTAGAACTATCCAATGCAATTTTCTGAATCATCACCCGAAACCGAATCTAAAGTTGACTAGAAACTGATTCATAACTCTTTTGGTACTAATGTTCGAGAGTGGTCCCTGGTCAAAGTGGTCCCTGGTCAAAAAAAAAAAAAAAAAAAAAAAAGGTTGGGAACTACTGCCTTAAAAGGTTAGTGCCAAATTATGCCTGTAGTCCTGTCCTGACCTTTCTTCTCAGCCATTCTTCTTCTTCAAAATCCTCCTGGTTGGGTATCAAAATGAAAAGGAAGGATGTATGTAGCCTCATGGGCTGGAGAAGGGGGAGAACTGAAGAGCCAAAAAGTGGAAGGTTTCAGCCTCTCTTCCTTGTGTTGTGTCCCAATCCTTTTCAGGCCTGTGTATGCTTGTTCTGATTATTCAGCTACATAATTATGGCAGTATGCCTTCAAATAAACTAGATAAAAAGTGGGGTTCCAGATGTTAATATGGAGATGCGCATGTTAAAACTGTTGGAAATAGCAAATAAGCCTCTACTAGTAATTTGTTATGTATATACCGTAATTCACATTGCTTATTGTATTGTATTTGTGTGTACTGGTATGCAGTTTCCCTTAACTCTATGTTGTGGGAGGGACTGCAGACCATGTGATCACATATGGGACTATTCAGACCTCAGACTCCATTTTAGAAGTAGTAGAAACAGAATGTTATCAACACCATTAGACTTTCAGACTTTAGAGACTCTATTAGACTCTCAGACCAGAGTGATGTTTTAGATTTTGGACTGTTTGATT